AAGCCCTACTCCGATAGAACGTTCATCCCCTTGGTTGGCCAACCTCCCGACAAAGAAAGCCAACAAGTTAGCCATTCACTATGGTGGTCTTGATTCAGGAGGACCTACTACAAATGAATATTTGGTTGGCCCAACTTCTGAGAGTTCGGCTGCAGGCCTCACCTCAGCTGATACCGAGACCCAGGAACCTACACTTGCAGTGGATCGACTCATTCGGCCATCGACAGAGTCAAAAAATGCAGATCCGCCTCAAGTTCCAGTTATTCGAGCATCTGGTATCCCTCTCTCAATGCCGCTTAGTCCTCGACCAAAAAAGTTAGACAATTTGATAGTTCCAGCAAAGAAAGACGATGGTGCAACTGTGGAGACATCCGACTACCTCGAGGACTCGGATCATTCGCGCCTATCTAAGGCAGTCAAGACAATTGTTCGCCAAGTGACTCATCAGCTGGCATTGCCACTTTACGAATCTGAGGGCTCAGTGATCAGCGGTATCACACTAGACTCAAACCGAGACAACTTTACGAACAGACAAAGCAGCCCAGGGCTTACTAGAGAAGAGGTGGTTTCCTGAATAAAGAACTTAGTTCTATGAGATCTATCCACCCTATTTCGTTTAGGGTGATGAAGGACTGGTAGAAGAATTTACCACAATGATATAAGTAGAGCTGAGGTTTCTATTGAATTTCACATTGCTTTGCCTTCCCAAAAGTTTTTTCGTGGGAAAATTCTACTACTACTCCTTCATCCTCTTAAAATAAATTGGGTGATACATCTCATATTACTGATTTACTGGAAGTCTGGAAACTCTACTTAGATACGAAAAATAACTTATTTTTAGTCAGTATTTATTAGGGGAAGGTGAGTGATGCTGATATTAGAAAGGGTATTAAGCAGGCAAACATAAAATAAGGCGGTATCAAGTCAAATGTATATGATTTTAGACCAAATGCTTATTTATGTACAGCTTACTTGGGTGAACTAGGCAAGAAGGCATGTATAGGCTTAAATGGTCGACTCAGCATCTCTAAAAAATGGTAGCAATCTTCATCCGTTATTTTTCTTCGTTACATCTCTTTGAAGGCATCTTCTATGTGGTTAAAATATAAATGATTAGTAGGCCTAACGCAGCCCAAAATTAGTACTAATAAAGTGGATGATAGCGCCATTAGAACTGACTGCGAGTCTTAAGATGGTTTTGTCTCAGGAATGAGCGTTAGTTAAAGCTTTTGCACTATTAAATGTGATGTGAGAGAGGCCTGGCTAACCTTAAACCACCTATGGCAGTGTGGAGTAGCTGTACCATGTGAAAAAACGACATAAATATTCGGGTTAGACTCACCGGATTTTATTGAAATTAATAAAGATGCGCAGATAAATATGAATATAATTTTAATGTAAAATTAATATTTTTATTTTAGCTAAGCTTGCTAACTTGATGACTCATTTCGTGAGGTATTAAAT